ATCTGAGAATCCACAGGTCCAAGGCAGGATCTAAAAGCAGAGAACAGCTCCTTGGAGCTGCATCTCCCAGAGAAGGTCAGAGAATGCTTGGAGCTGGGGGTTTCTGGGGCAAGGCCATTACGTAATATTGTGTTTGAACATATAACAAATATAACATATAACAGACTTTAACAATACAAAACCACAAAAAGACACCGTGACACCTAACATATACGTATCTAAACTAAAAACAAAACATATACATATAGGTGACTTCCTCTTTCCATCCAACTGGTTTATCACTACTCATTATTTAGTATTTTGCAACATTTTCTCTATTTTTTAAAAGTTTCACAATTAAATAATTTTTTTAATCCATCTATCCTTTTATTTTTCCAGTTTGTTCAATTTTCTAGCTATTGTATAGCAGAGCTCCCCCAGACTAGTTTCCAGAATTTTATTATTTCAGACGATTCTTCTTCTAGATTGGTTAATTTACTATCTTTAAGCCTCACTGTAAAATTATCCAAACTCAACATATCATACATTTTATATAACCAGTCTTCAACAGTTGGAAAAACCAAATATTTTGTTTTTTCCAATTCCTAGCGTACACTATACGAGCAGATACTATATAATAGAAGTTTTTTTGTGTTTTTTTTTGTTCAATTTTTCCTTCTAACATAGGTAACATATTGAGTAGATACATTTCAGGATATATTGTAATGTTAATCTTCAGAATTTCTGAGATCATATTATGGATTGAAGTCCAGTATTTTTTAGCTTTGGGGCAATTATTATTATTATTATTATTATTATTAATATTATTATTATTTCTTCCACCACATATAATAAAAAGTACCTGGTGTCTCATTACATTTCCAACAATTTAAATTCTTATTTTTATACATTTTAGATAATCTCATTGGGGTAAGATGCCATTTAAATAACATCTTATAATAGTTTATTTTAAGTCATAGTATAAAGTAAATTTTAGGTTCTTCTTCCAAGATTTGTCCCAGTGTTCTAATTTTATTTCATGCCCAATGTTTTGTGCCCATAACATCATTCATATTTTAACTGTCTCTTGTTCAGTATTCCATTTTTGATTTTAAGTGTGTCCTCATTCATCATTATTTTTTCCAATTCTACTTTT